TTATATCTTTTTATAAATTTTGAGTATAAATATTATATTTTATTTTTATTTTATATTTTATATTTTATTTTAACTGAATGTAGTATAAAAACTTATAAACAATTAATTACAAATATTATATTTAATAAGATTTAATTTATATCCTAAAAGCAGAGATTAAAAAATTTCTTTATACGTAATCTTGAATAAATGACATATATATATAAACAAAAAGAAGAATGAGTTATATACATATAAATTTTACACATTACATTTATATATAAAATTTTAATTTTTTTTATTTTTTATTTATATTTATAAAAAATAAATATTTTTTATTTAAAAAATCATAATAAATCTAATAATTAATTTTTAAAAATATTAATAATTAAAAGATAAATTTTTAAATAAATCTTAGAAAAAGATTTTTGACAGGAAGACGTGCTTTATAGTGTCCCCACCTCCCGCACAGACACACCTGTTATATATATATATATATAATATGATTTGTTGAAATAATTAATGATCTTGCTATTTAACCTATTTCCCATGGTCTTCTGCAACTTGAGTATGGTTTCTTCTTCTTCCTTGGTGAAGTTTCCGTGCTTTATATCCGGCCTAAGGTAATTCATCCAACGAAGCCTGCAACTCTTCCCTGTCCTAGAAAGGCCTGCAAAATTCAAGTGCTTCTAATTAATTAAGTATCAGATGGCCTGGGGACCATATATATATATATATATATATGATATAAAGTCTACCTAATTAATTATCAAATCACCTTCGTTCAAACAAAATGATTGACGGAGGAGTTCTTTCTTGATATATAATCCAGAAACAAGAGCACAAACCTTAATAAAATGCAAACAAATTTTATTTTTGATTAATTTAAAACAAAAGAGAGAGAGAGAGAGAGAGAGAGAAAACAAACAAACCTAAATAAAATGCATGAGGAGAATTCAAAATTTGAAAACCAATTAAAGGCTGTATATAATGGGGAATATGAGTAATTAACATATGGATATATATACTTACCGGCATATTTTGGCATTTCCTTCCAATTCCGAATGCCATTTGTCCCTATATAAGCTAACAGCTTGCGATCTTCTTCAGGTGTCCAAGTTCCTTTCTTTATAAATGGTTTCTCAAAGGAAATTTGATACCTCACCATGATCGCTCTCTATCAATATCCAAAACAGTACTGCGTACGGGCGAATGTTGAAAACAAGGTACTTATCATCAGCTGTATATATACAAGAGCGAACATGTTAAAAGGGATTCTAGAAATCTCCAATTAAATTTGTCAGTAGCCTACCAGCGCCTGTTCATTCCAAGTTGTATCAAGTCTTCGTAGAATATTAGTTAATTAGATGACTTCCTTTCCAAGGGAGGTTGGTATTAATTTTTTAATGATTTATTGTCGGATTCCATGTACAGTCATTTAGAGAAAGTAAGCATGTGTAAATTGTGAATGCTGTCGGTAAATTTCCCGGAAATTAAGGATGGTTTTCCTTTAACTGAGGACAGAGTAAGAGAAGACCGTCAGTACCCAGAAAAGTAA